TGGGGTGGGGGGGGGGGGGGGGGGGGGGGGGGGGGGGGGGGGGGCAGCTCTAAGTTCTACAAAACTGATTTTTTTTAGTTCAGGAAGTGAGAGTGGGCCAGAGCCTCAGACAGGTGCAAGTGTTGATCTTGTGGTTGTTCTCCAAAGCTTTGTAAATAAATCTGATGAAACTCACACCTGGTTGTTTTGGGAATCTCTTTTTTCCATGACCGCGTCTTCACTTTCATCTCTCGTTTTATTATGACCTGCCTCCATAAAAGGCGGTCCTCGTGTAATAGCCTGCGCGCGCGTCTATTTGTCTGAGTGTGTTAGGAAAATATCTCATGAACCAGTAGATGGTATTTAATGAAAGTTTCAGAAAGCAGTTAGTGGATGTAAATTAATCGACTTGGACCTTAGAAAACACAGAAACGACTCGTGCGCCTGTCCAAAGACGGAAGTACCGATTCTGTCCGTCTGTAAACTTTCTCTCGTTTTGTCCATAACTTCTGACTCGTTTAACATAATTTAATAAAATTTATTTGTACCACCACTAGACATTGCGTCGCATAATCTTTAATAGCCCCAAGATCAAGGTCACAAATCAAGGTCAAATTTGATATAAGGTGTTTGCTTGTTTGTGCCATTGTTATAGATTTCTATACTGCTGTATGATATTTTGTTGACAGGCAGATAATGTACCATATGCAGCGCTCTGTTTAGATATTGAGCTAAAATATGGCGTGGTAGTAGCTGAGCGTCGCCCCAACACATGGCATTAACTGCTTAGGAGCTTTGTTTAAAACTTTAGCACACAAGTCGGCGGGTGAGAATCATTCCTTAAAGAAATGCTTTTCATTCCACCAGGTCCTCGTTCTGGATGAGATAAATTTAACATATCTGACGGGCGAGATTATAAAAATAATCACACCTGAAAAAACACAAAATGATCTTGATTTCCTAAAACGTTTCGCCAACATGAGCTGAGCAGAACCTGCAGGACGGCTGCTGCAGAGTCAACCCTGCAGCGTTTCAGCATCGTCTGTGACAAATGTTGATTTGTTGTGTTTAGGTGTCAAACCATGAGTGGAAAGTGCGTTCAGCAGATCAAAAACAATGATATGGTTTTCAACCCCCCCCCCCCCCCCCACACACACACACACACTTTAACAGCTCTGGAAAACATTCAACAGGAGGCTGGCTTGAAACGCATCCAGGAGGTGTCAGGCCGCAGACTGAGGAAGTCCTTTGGATGAAAGACGAAACGTTTCTCCCAAAAAGAAACTGTCCAGATGATTTGATTGAATCTATTTTGCGTTGTTTATTACGTTTCTCTGCTTCATGTATCACAAAAATCTTTCTTTCCTATTTTAAAACAAATTGCCATATTTAATTTGCTTTGTTCCTCTTGATCCTCCTGTTTTTGATTCCCTTCTCTTTGTTAAAAAAAAAAGATTGATACTATTAAAACATAGTGTGCATAAAATGTATTATTATTAAGCATATTTATTAACGAGTAATAAGTTCATTGTTGGATCTAAAGTAATAATCTACCATGTATTTTTATGTTTCCTTTCTACATTTCATTGTTTCGTATGTATAAAGTGTAAATTTTAAACATTATTTTTTATTATTCAAAGCAACAAGACAAGGCAGCTGAATTTAAAATAACTACTGTATTTTCCGGGCTATAAGTTTTGCCTAATTTTCATGCCCTGCGACATATTTATAGATGTTTTCCGTATTTTAAACCAATTTTTGACAATTTCTTTTTCATTCATTCTGACTAAAAATATTGAACACTACCACTTTCAGCCGCTAGATGGCGCTCGAGTAGTACGGCATGCCGTTGTGTCATGTTATAGGTAAAAGTGGCTATTAATGACACAATCAACTTGCCATAGCCTGCCACCTTCGTCCAGTTCTCCTGGAGCAACCGTCAAATCAGCTTAATTTCTCTGCACCGCCCCGGAGACATGCAGCTGATTTGACCATTGAAGTGCATTTATTAAGTAAAAGTTCAGCTGAGAAAACATCTTTGCTATAAAGTCGAGTAAACAAATAATTGTTTTAGGTGATAAACTTGCTAAATTTCAAAGAAATGCGCAGCGTTCCTCCTCCCTGATTTCCTCCGTCTTTGCGCTTCCGGAGCACCGAGGCAACAAATACTTCTGAAATGCAGCTGATTTGACCATTAAAGTCCTTTTATTAAGTAAAAGTTAGACTGAGACACACATTTACTATAATTTCAAGCAAACAAATAATTGTTTTTAGGTTGTTGTCTTGTTAAATTCTTGTTAAAGTCCTCCTGTGCACGCATATTAGATGTGACTTATATGGCGAAATGATGTATTTATGGATTTTTCCACTTTATTAGACGTATTTGGACAGATGCGACTTATAGGCTGGAAAATACGGTAATCAGAAGTGACATTTTTCTGTCCGTGTCCTCTCAGATCTTCCCAGTCCCACTTCAGAGTCTCTCCAAGACAATAGTCCAGTCCAGACTCAACAGCACCTTAGTCGGCGTCTTCACCACCGTCATCGTCTTTCTCTCTGCTTTCATCAATATTGTAAGTTTCTCACGAACGCAATCCAAAGCAAAGCTGCTCGTGTGCTCACCGTCGCTGAAGCTGAGGACAAAGTTTGTGAAACCTGTTAATCCTCTGTCCGCTCACCAACAACTGACGTGGCTCAGTTCACCTGCAGCAGTCGGGACCTGCGGCGCTGCATCACGTCGGAGCTCAACGTGAGCCTGGACAGGGTGAACGCCTGCCACGCCGCCTCGCTCAACCTCAGCCTGGACTCCCAGCACAGCCGCTGTGAAGAGGACGCCCTCGTCTGCAGCTTTCCTGAGGTGCAAATTTACCTTCACATATGCTCCTGTTAACGGTACGATCAGATGTTTTGTAGATTCATTCTGTCCGAACAGCTTCGTACCGTAAAGCGTGATCACGAAACCTGGAATAAAGTCCCTCTCTGTATGTTTCCCACTTTAGTACTTTACTTCCTGCGTGCTGCTGAGCCTGCTGGCCTGCTCAGTCTTCCTGCAGGTCAGCAGCATCGGGAAACTCTTCCTCATGCTTTGCATCGAGCTGCTCTACCTCCTCATCATGGAGGTGCCCAAAGTGCATCTCTTTGACAATCAGGACCTGCTGGTCATGGCCAACGCCGTCAGCTTTGAGTGAGTCCCTCCGTCCTCTTGTTCCACAGTTCCTGAGTAAATTGTTTACCCATCCTGGATGTCCTCACCACTGATCAGCTCTTCTCTGTCCTCCCCCCTCACAGCGAGCACATAAATGGGACAAGGTGAGACGGTCTCATCACAGCTCTTTTTAAACATCATTACCACACTAATGGAACTGTAATGGCGACGCATGCCAACGTTAGCCAGGCGGCTTGTTTGTGTCACAGTCCTTGACGGATATCTTTATTTTCGTGTGGCATCTCTCCAGCTGTGTGGTGGACACCAAGGTTCCTCTGAAGATCATGACCCCTGTGGTGATCACAGTGTTCGTCCTCGCCCTTTACCTTCACGCCCAGCAGGTGGAGTCCACAGCCAGGCTCGACTTCCTGTGGAAGCTGCAGGTCTGTGTGCGCGCACAGCTGGTCCATTCTGTTCAGGTGTCATTCCAACGCACTCTTTAGGACAACCATTAGTGTTATGTGCCACGTCATGGCTTGTAGCATGTAGATTTGAACATACGTTTGCATTAAGGGACTACTTTTTATGGCATTAATTTTCATAGTTTCCTGCAGTTTAACTAACAAGCTACATTTTTCCATCATATGGTTCCACCTTTCTGTGCATTACACCTAAAATAATGAGATCAAAACACGTTGGGTTTTTTTTTTGTCAGCGTTCCATCTTGTGCATCATTTGCCCCCTGCTCCGATTCACAAGTGCTAAACATATGCCAGCACAGACACCGATCCAGTCCAGCAGGAGTGATTTTCACAGTTTGCAGTCACAGCTGCAGGTGGCCTTGCTGCACGATCTAAATATGACCTTCTACCACCAAGAACAAGGACCAAAGAGGCAGAGAGATGGTCGTCGTTTCACTTTGAGCTTCAGGTTTGAACGAGTCTGACTTAGTTCAAACTGATTTCTTCCTGGTTCAGGGAGGAATCATGCTCATGGCACGCTTTCTTGTTGTCACTAAGTCAGTTTAAAAATGGGTCCTTGATTGAATCAGTGGTTGGTCACTGCGTCCTCCATCCCCGCTCGTCCTCAGACTGTCCTAGGTGTCCCCAAACCACGATGCACAGTGAGGACGTGTCTCATCTATAACGTAAGGTTCTACTTGTTAGCCTCTTTTTGTTGAAATGTTCTGTAATCATAAGGTTTTGTATTCTGAATGTAAAAAAACAACATCAGGACTTTAAACACTTTGACCACTTTTTTAAAGAAGTAACGTCTGACTCATCCCTGGAAGAGAGCATGGAGCCTGCCCTTCCATGACATCAGTGCAGCTGATTGCTGCTCTTCTTCTGTTTCTTTTTCAGAAATGCAATTCCCACCAGCTTTCAGGAGTAAATCATGTCACCTTGATCTTTGAGCTTCTAGTCCTGGCAGTTGTTTACATGAGTTTGGGTGGTTTCTTCTAATTGAATGATTAATACCTCGTTCAAATATGGGCAAACATCCATTGTTCATTTCTTTTAATCTTCCTGCTGAGTGATTTTTTTTTCATTATTACGCTTTGTCCCAAATCATTTTAAAGATTAAACATCACTCACTCATACAGTCAAGTAAAGGGAATACCAACTTTTACAACACAAACTCTGGAAAAACTTGCACCAAAGTGTCAGACGACATCTGTGGGAAACAAGTTCAATGAATCAAGAACTCCCCAAACATCAGCAGGGTCTGAAAAACCTTCTGCGTTTGTCCCAGTGCCAGACACCACGGGCTTAATTTGAGCCGGATCCTGCCGGAACAGGATCCGGGAACGCTCTTATTTTGACAAGGTGCGTTCTGGTAACTGTTTGTTGGATCTGGTAACTCTCTGGCTTACTAATAATAAACTTATGAACAAATGTGACTGCCTTGAACAATTAGAACCTATATTGGATATGCAATCTGAAAATAATTACATAAACACTAATTTTAAACACAACAGCCACTTACGAGCTTCCTAATATCACATCAGATCTGCCCCTTCAAGTAGCATTTCTGCTTCTACCCTTAAAAAAATCTCCGCCCCTAAAAGTTCAATTATGAGCAATTGATTTAAAAACACAAAAATATAATTAAACAGCACAACTAAATTGCAAATCAGTTTTACAGTTAAAGTGGGTCATTAATAAATTTTGATTATTCATTAAAGTATGAGAGAAATGTTTGATGGCTAATCATGCTACATACATCACGTATCAAAACAAAGGCGTCAATTTGTCAAAATGACAGCAATCAAAATGTCTAAAAGAGAGTCCAGTTACTTTCATTTAAATAAGTATTGATTGTACAATTAAACAACCAAGAACTGAAGCACATGAACACAGTGGCAATGGAAATACTGGAGCAGGAGTAAGGATGCTTGAGAGAAGTGGAGCGTGCTCTATTCACATAAGGAGAGCTGTTGGTCAGGTTACTTCTTGTTGCTCTCTAAAATAGTTATTGAATCAAATGTAGGTAAACATAGATGTTCAACAACCCATTAAAATACACTAGAACGTAGGAAATGGCATCTACTTTATTCAAATATTTTAGGGAGAGGACCCCCCACCCCTGCTATTTGCGTTCTGGCATCGTTTGGTTTACAAATTAAGCACCTCCAGGTGTTCGTTGTCCGTGACTCAGACTTTTGGCTCTTCATAACATTATGGTCATCGGATGCATTATCTACTAACTGACCTGCTCCACAGTAAAACACATTGGATCAATAGCCACCGTGATATTAAGGACCTCTGACAGCTGTGCTAAAGTTCATGCTCGTTCATTTTATTTGAGAACGTTTATATTGTTGGTGGGCGACTCCTCATCAGTATAAATCCTCAATCTGGACTATTCAGGCCACAGAGGAGAAGGAGGAGATGGAGGAGCTTCAGGCCTACAACCGGCGTCTGCTCCACAACATCCTGCCCAAAGACGTGGCCGCCCACTTCCTGCAGCAAGAACGGCGCAACGACGAGCTCTACTACCAGTCCTGCGAGTGCGTTGCAGTCATGTTCGCTTCCATCAGCAACTTCTCCGAATTCTACGTGGAGCTGGAGGCCAACAACGAAGGAGTGGAGTGTCTGCGGCTTCTTAATGAAATCATTGCTGACTTTGACGAGGTCAGCAGTATGCGTGCACATGTTTGTTTGTTAGAATGAGAATTTATGGCTTAGCATGAGTGGAGGTTTCTCCCTGTTTTTATTAACCTCGTGTTTTTCCATCCATGTTATGGAAAAGTACCAGAATGAAGAGTTGTGAGGTTTATCCTGAAGTTCTAGATAACCTTACCCAAACCCTACAATAGCTGGCTGCTCTAATCTCTCCTCTCCTACCATCATTAGATTATTAGTGAAGACCAGTTCCGCCAGCTGGAGAAGATTAAGACCATCGGCTCCACCTACATGGCAGCCTCGGGCCTCAACGACTCCACGTACGACAAAGTTGGACGTTCGCACATCCGCGCGCTGGCTGATTATGCCATGAGGATGATGGACCAGATGAAATACATCAATGAACACTCCTTTAACAACTTCAAGATGAAAATAGGTGGGCGACAACACTGCTCTGCACTAAAACAGAAGCTAATAAAGATATCTGTTCAATCGTGGAAGAAAGAGACGATCAGTTGCCACGTTGACTGAAGACCGTATTTGTGACACACGGTGCACATTTTATGCCAACCATTCTCCAAGTGCCGTTGTGCACAACTTGCGATGTAACTAATTATTACTGCATGATATGTTTCACAGGCCTGAACATTGGTCCGGTGGTTGCCGGGGTAATCGGAGCCAGGAAGCCTCAGTACGACATCTGGGGGAACACGGTGAACGTAGCAAGTCGCATGGACAGCACAGGCGTCCCAGAGAGGATTCAGGTAACGCCATTCAACATCTAACAAGGTTAAGTCAGGTCCTCTGGACAGAGTCTTGTCCAGAGGACCTGACTTAACCTTGTTTACATCAGCCATTTGGGCTTTGGATCGCTGGCAGTAGTCCATCTGAAGCATAACTGAACTTTTTTTTTTAAACTTCTTTCAACCAGCCGGTCAGCGTGTGGTCAAATGGCCATGTACGGCTTGTATGGCAAGCCATGTTGCTATATAATTGGATCGTCAGCCGCGTACGTCCGCTGACACAGTCAAAAGCCCAACACCGGCCTGACTTGCACATTAAGCACGTTATTATGGCCCGGTCCTAACCCGGGTCGGGCTCTGGGTTAGAATTGGCAGCTCTAGTCCAGGTGTCCCCCCCGCCTCTCACACAGTGACTGCTGGACATGGGCACCAGTGACCCCCACGACCCAAGAAGGAAGAAGCGAGTAAAGATAATGGATGGATGGATACTGGGTTAGAATTAGTTTTGAGACCACTGTTCACTTAAAAGTCTAAAGAAAAACCTTCAGGAGACTTTCCACTAGTAAACGGACCTTTTCTGTCTCTGTGGTCCAACTTGGATAACTTACCAAATGTAAATCCTCGTAACAATTCTTCAGACCAACAACCTTGTAATTTACAGACTTGTTAGAGTGTTGTGTGTTTAGGGCCACATCCGAACCACAAACTCACAAAAAGTCTGGGCTGCACACGATCATCTGCAGAAAGCTCTGCCAGACGCTCACGGACAGGTACAGATGAAGTTCTTGAACCTCGCAGCTGAGCTGAGCGAATCCGACCAGGAAGTGAGAATTTAATTTAACACAGATCTAATCCAAATTCAAATGGGATTGGAGGGATTTTTATTCTTTTTATTAAATTGTAGTTAGATTTTGGTCAAAACCTAAGTAGCTATGCGCAAAACTAACCCTCACGTATCTCCTGAACATAGAAAGATCTATTTAAATTATATTAAAAAGTTATAAAAAGTGTTTGTTGTCCATTAGATATGAAATTCTATTCTGAACCTTAGATGTAAAACTTTTTTTTATATTCATAACCTGTCCTCACTGCACTTAAAAAACAAGATCATAAAACTTTATACAGTTTATTTATAAAAATGATGATTTGTAAAAACATAATACATTATCTGTACCACAAGAAAAACTTTTATTTTTGTCCTTTTGTAAATTTGCTAAATGATTCAAGTTAATTTGTTTTCTTCAGATGAGTGGCCCAGTCATTTTGTCTTCAGTTCACTTTATTTACGTAGGTGCCATATCACAACCAAGATTTTAAATTTTATTTATTTATTGCAAATTTAAAAGGAGCCAATAGTGGACCTAAACTGGGATAAATGGGATTTTTAAGCTCCTAAAAAAGGAAAGTTTAAAGAAACTTTTGCCTTTTCTGCAGGCACCTTGTTCTTTTTTAAATTCTTGGTTTAAATCTTAGGCATATTGTTTTTGTACAATTAGTGCTTAGTGTATTTCTTAGTTCATATCTTAGATCTTTTTACTGTTTTTCTTTACAATTTATACTTTAGTTGGATGTAACTGGGACCCTGCGTACACAATTTCGTTCCACCACATGTACCAGTGCGAATGACAAATAAAGAAACTTTGACAAAATTTAACAAACCAACTCAAAATTCAAAAAGTACCGTATTTTTCGGACTATAAGGCGCTTAAACTCCTTTAATGTTCTCAAAAATCTACAGAGTGCCTTATAATCCAGTGCACCTTATGTATTACTTCTGGTTGTGCTTACTGACTTCGAACCGATTTTATGTGGCGCAACTGAACAGTTTTGAGAATTATTGTGAATAGGCCTGTCACGATAACACATTTTGCTGGGCGATTAATTGTCTCAGAAATTATTGCGATAAACGATAATATTGTTTGAAATTTGACAATAATTAGTAATTGTCAAATTTAAGAAGATATGTTGGTTAATTTTGTGTGTAGTACCTTTTTTGACCACTGGATGGCAGTAGAAGACTGTTTGAACTAAAGGATGGATAGTGAGGGAGCGAGCAGCATGTCTCTAAGAAAAATGGGAGGGAGGCCCCTTGACGTGACATGGGCTGTCTCTCTTTCCTGTTTTTTGGTTCTCAAAATGGTGGACGCTCTGTGTGGTTTGAGCTCTTTAGCATTTTTCACACTGAGCTTTTTTTTTTAACCAGTAAACAAGTTCTCAGCTTCTTTTAGCAGAAAAAAAAAAACTTTTTAGACGAAGGCACGGGTTTCAACCGTGAATTCTGGAGCTTCTGCAAGACAGAGGTTTTTTCCCTGAGGTCAGCCTGTTAGCGTAGCTCGTAGCTTAGCTGCTTTTAACGATCCAAATACGAGATTTTGGACGGTTAAAAAAGATTTTAAAGAGAAAATAAAAGTGGAGGGGTCATTGAAGAACACTGGAGTTGAGCCTGTTGTCATCCAGTGTCTTCAGTAGAAAGAGAGAGACACGAAGAAACGATAAAGCTGATAAATGAAAACGAGGTTGATAATTTTCATTTATCATGCGATTAATTGATTTATTGTTTATCGCGACAGGCCGAATTGTGAATGAGTTGAATAAAGTTTGCCTAATGCGCATTATAGTTCGAAAAGTACAGTATGCATATTTCTTGTTTCCACGGTCTTTCTGGCCGTGCGTTTTTAAATGAACACGGGATCAAGTCAGTTATTACAAAATGTTTCTTGTAAAAACATTAAAACAACGTGATTGTGTCTGCCTGCAGGTGACCACAGATCTTTACCACGTACTGAGCTCGTATAACTACACACTGGAATACAGAGGCGTCGTTACCGTCAAAGGCAAAGGAGAGATGATGACGTATTTTCTCACTGGTGGACCGCCCAGCAGTTAACCTTTACTCAGTGACAGACGCATGCAAAAGTTGTGCAACCTTTCATCTAACGAGCCGGCCTGCAGACCTCTGATAGCTTCCTGGCAGACTCGAGCCTTTTCCCTCACAGCCTGAAGATTGAGAGGATTCATCCCAAAGCTCAGCGTGAGCAGGAAGAAGCTCGTGAACGGCTGACGGAACGTCTGCTCGACTCTGCCTTTTAGACCAAAGATCAGAACGTGAGGACAGTTGTGACCAGCTTGGTCCTAAAGAATGAACTCCGTTTGAAACTCGATGAGTTCAACCTGCCAGGTTTGAAGGATTCTTGGACAAATGTGCAAAGACTGTCGCCTCCCATCCTCTGCCTTTCTCCTGCTGACTATACACACAAACTTGTTGATGGTTTACGTGTGAAGGATTTTATGATCCGTTTGTAACGTTTGTCATGTTGTCGTGGTACAGGTACGAATCTCAAGTGTGGACACCAAACCAGCACTACTTGTCCTTATATCAAACTGCATCAGTAACAGATTATTGGAAGAGCAGTAATGGGATTATTTAAAGAAAGCGCGGCACAGTGTTTGACTGAAGCTTCCTGGTAGAATCACACAACAGTGTCATCGGCATATAAACACATCTGCAACACAAAGAGGATGTCAGAGAATTGTTTTTCTAATCTGAAAGTTTTGTATTTTGACTTCAGAACACAAACCCTATAGGATATTTTAAGATTCTATATTTTCTACATCCAGAGCTCTATAAACTACAGATGTACATACTAATGCGAACGGCAGAAGTCTTCACTGGTGTTGCCTAATCTTAGCGTCACACAACTATTTTTTCAACTAAAGCAGATCGACACTTCGGAGTCTCCATTTTTTCTTTTCCCAACAAATGGAAAATATATTTTTCAATCCGTAGGAACTTGTTTTTGGCTGATCAGAGGCTGCTGCTGATCTGTTTGTGTTTCAGTCTCACGTTAAAGACGGCTCGCTGAGCGAAGGCGCAGTTTGAAGGACACACTGAAGGACTGAAATACGTCAGCCTTGGTGCTCAAAAGCCATTTTGCACTGCAGCGCTTTGAGTCGTCCACGTCCTCGTGCACTCCTCCACAGGCCCTTCGTTTGCTCAGGCAGACGGTGCGACCCAATGAATGTCAGTGATCTCCGACGAGGCCTTTAATACGGACTCTAGTGACAATAATGATCATCCGTGTTTGCAGACAGATGAACACGTGGAAATGTGCACTTTTATCTGCTGTTTATTTTTTGTCTTCAGTATTACATTACTCAGCAGGTTATTACACAAACTTGAGCTTTCGTACTGCAGTGAAAACCAAATATTACGGCTGGTTTCATTTGTTTTTGACGATTCAGAGTACAGGAAAAAAAAAAACATGTCTGGACAGCGTCAGGTTTCCCCCGGGAATACAGAAAACTGCAGCCTGAAACGTAATAAAACCAGCATTTTATTTTTCTTACTGTCAGTAAAACTCAGAAAAGGCCCAAAATGAACAAATGTAATCTATCGCTCAGATTTCCTGTAAGAAATGTAAAATATAACGCATCACCAAGAAAATACAACTATGAAAATAAACAGTTGAGTTCCAGGATAGTTTTTAGTTTTTTAGTCTTTTAATAAATCAATTACAGCCTGGGCTTCGATTTAAATCCTGGGTGCATTTTTCAATTTTAAACATTTGTCAAAAATTAATACATTTCCAACCATAATAATTTAAAATAACTGAAGGAGTAGGTGGAATTGAAATTCAGAGGAGCGCCAACGTTGTGATCCATCAGCCGTAAATCTGACCAGCCTGAGTCGTGCTGCTGCTCAGTGGCTCAGTGGGTCGACCACAGTTCACTTTTAGGCGCTGAATCAAAAATTGAACCCGCAAACTTTCAAACAGTAAGAAATTCACATAAAGTCAAATTAAAATACAAAAATAGTGTCAACATTTTGAGACTGGTTTGGAAACAGGCGGCACGGTGGCGCAGTTAGTAGAGCTGTTGCCTCTCAGTGAGGTCACCGGTTCAAATCCCAGCCCGGGACCTTTCTGGGTGGAGTTTGCATGTTCTCTCCGTGCTTTTGGGTTTTCTCCAGGTACTCCAGTTTCCTCCCACAGACTAAAAACATGCATGTTAGGCTGACTGGTAACTCTGAATTGTCCCTAGGTGAGAGAGAGAATGGTTGTCTCATTTGTCTCCATGTGTCCCTGTGGTGGATTAGGGCCCAAAAAAATCTGACCTGACACAGCCCCATCATTTCTGATGAATTAACAGTAATTACAGGTCCAAACCCGAATACAGAAGATCGGAGCTGAGCAGGCGTTTGTCCTTTCTTGACCATCAAAGTTCATTAAATCCCTGCTTCTGCCTGCAGTCTGCATTATTCAGACACGGACCATGCTCTGACATGTCGGATATTTTGGGATCTCGCCTGTTTGGGTCATCGGCCGCGTGCATCTGCTGAGTGCAGCTGAATCTTTTTAAATGACACCACGACCTTCTAAAGGAAAGAACAAAGATGTCTCATTTGTTTGAACGTCTTTCTTTACTTTAACTAAACTTTATTTTACTTCTTTCAACCGGCCGGTCAGCTCGCAGTCAAATGACCGCGTGCTGCTGGTGATAGTATGGCAAGCCATTTTGCCATATAATTGGCTCATCAGCCGTGCTCGTCCGCTGACGCAATCAAAAGCCCGACACCGGCCCGCACATTATTATGGTCCGGCCCGGCCCTAATTCGGGTCGGGCCGGACCAGGCTCCGGGTTCGGGTTAGAAATGACAGCTCTACCTCTCGCTGGCTATGGGCACCAGTGACCCCCACAACCCGAAATGGAAGAAGTGGGTCAAAGATAATGGATGGATACTTTTGGAAACAAATAATTTTAATAATAAAGCAGAATTTAGACTTTTTTTAAAAACAAATCAACCTTTTTCAAACGATTAACTTTATGCTTAATAAAGGTAAATGGGCTCTTTAAGTATAAATGTTTACAACACTGAAGTGAACGTGAGCGTTTCATGGTAATGCGACACATTAATATACATTTACAATTTATTCATTTTACGCCTCACCAGAAATCCCCAGAACTCTGTTTAGTGTTGGACATCATCCTGAGAACATACAAACATGGACTTTACATACTAGTGCACATACATCCAGAAGAATAAACTAGTTAAAAGTTGCATCAGTGACAGTTCAGGAACAGCGATGGGCTTCGATCGCTGATATTTCTGGACAGCAGTTTGAACCTTGGAGGTGTTTCTAGAAACACTGGGTCTTCTTGGGAGATTTAGCTGACAGCAAGAAAAAAAAAAGTAATTTGCACCAGCCTCGTCTTTTAATTCCTGTTGGGTTAGTTGTAACTTTTTGTGTTAAAGAGAGAAAAAAGAAAAAAAATCTCCCATGTTTGTGTCAAACTTCTGAAGAACGGACCTGCATTGGTTTATTTCCACAAAAACACTGTACCAGTTGCACCTACAGGCATGCTCCATGACAGATTACACAGTGCAGAGCAGACCTGAATCAGTTAATTTACTGTACGACTAGTTTATGTAACCGTGAGAAAAGCTCACCTGCTTTTTATTTCTGCCGTTATAAATTTCCTCCTGGGGCCTCCGACGTCTGCAAATGAACCAGCTCCACGGAGCAAACCACGTTTTTCTCTTTCACAGTGAAATAAACTGCTGAGATGGTTCGAATAATTACATCGTCTGTTCTTCTTGCATGTTGTGCTCGTGCTGACTGCTCACCGGTGGATCCAGACCGATACAAACTGAACCCAGAACAGCAAAGCTGCAGATTCATAAAGAAAAACATGTTCTCCAGATGCCTTCAATAATCCGAACGGTTTTAAATCTGTTCTGTAGCTCGCCAACAGATGGCAGGAGTGCTCCATCACTTCCTTTAACCATGAACTACTTTTCTACATGATGTGAAGCCTGAAACGCAAGATACTCGTCTGTTAGTTCATCACAACACTAATAATATCAGTCAAATAACTGTCTCATGGTCAGCGTTGTTCAGTGCCTGCAGAGGACAAAAGGAAGGTGTTGGTAGTCAACATCAAATGCATCTAAAAATGTTGAATGATTCCTGCTGAGGGAGGAAAAAATCAGGTTCAGGAACCCACAGGTAGAAAAGCACAATGAGGCGAACACAAAAAGACACTAATCCTAACAATAGCTCCTCGTGTGGTGCCTGGAACGTGCTGCCTCTGAACCTTGAAGCAATCTGTTGCTTGTTGCTCCGCAGGAAATGGGATTTGACTGAAGGGGGGAGGGTTCAAAAAACAAACCAGGCTGCCCCAAAGCTCTGATTACCGTTTCCTTTCAATGGGGAATGCTTGAACTTGATGTAAAAAAGTTGAGTCAGGGCCCCTGGATGGATTCTTCTTTGTTGAAACCTTTCATCTTTTATCCAAAGGACTTCTTCAGTCTGAGGAGCTGCAACAAACTCAGTCTTGTAAACAGCACCTTCTCATGGTGGATCAACCAGTTTGCTGGTGACATCCAGAACCAGCTGTTCACATGATGGAGGACCATCAGCCTAACAAGTGATCGTTAGTGCCCTGATGGCCGCTTGCTATTCACAGAGGGCTGAGTGATGCTAGCAATAACAAAGTTCATGCTCAATCATCCAGGTACCAAATCCAATAATTCTGTCAGGTCATCTGGACTTTTTTTTTTTAATAGATGGGGACAGTTGGACATGGAGGACTGCACCAGTTTAATGATGGACGGGTTTCTCTTCACAACATCATCAGCAGGACTCTGCGGTCTACACTCATCTCCAGGCCAGCGGTCACTCTTTCAGGGATGAAGATGTTCACATCCTGGATAGAGAGGAACGTTGATTTGAGAGAGGAGTGAAGGAGGTCATCTTAGTGAAGAGAACTCGTCCATCATTAAACGAGTGGAGGCCTCCGTGTCCAACTGCCCCCTCTTACAACGCTGTTATTGCTAGTATCACTCAGCCCTCTGGCACTAACGATCGGTCGTTAAGACTGACTGCCCTCCATCATGCGAACAGCTAGTTCTGGATGTCAACAACAAACTGGTTGATCCACTATGAGAAAGTGTTATTTACAAGACTGAGTTTAATGCAGCTCCTCAGACTGAAGAAGTCCTTTGGATAAAAGATGAAAGGTTTCAACAAGAAGAATCCATCCAGAGGACCTGACTTTACTTTTGTAGATTTTTCTGCCTGGATCATTGAGCAGCATCAGGATACTTGATGTTCAGCCTCATAAAATATGTACCGGACCAGCTTTCTTATAATCATCTCCTTTCATCAGATACTCATAACGGTAAGGTCTGTTTCAAAAGTTTCTGACTCCTGCTTCTTTTAAGACGTTTTAAACAAATCTTTATTTCCATCACTGCTTTAAAATATATCGGAGCTCAGCGTTTGACTGTTTGTCATGAAGTGCAGTCAACATGTTGACTGTAACATCCATGAAGGAGAACGTTGAAGAATCCTAGAGTACGATTCAGACCAGATCCAAGAAGCTGGAGCCACAGTGAGAACAGCCATGAGGTCATACGGGTGTGGCGCCGATGGCTCACATGAGGATGACTCGTTAACGTCCTTCCTCCTCCAGCTCAGACAACAGTTGCGCTGCTGCATGACTCTATCAACCTTTTCCGTTTCACCTCTAACGTCTTCCAGTGAAGCAGACGGATGTCAGTCTTGGCACACACCAGTAATAATCGTAACAGTAACGACGTGCAACAAATCTCCACCCTTCTTTTTTGCTTTAACGTGTTAAAGTGGAGCACAAAGTCAACAATTATGATGTAATGTCCTGAAGCAAAGGCAGTCAAAGCCAATAAATAAGGGATCTGGTGGTAGCAGTTGAGTCGGGCGGAGGGTGAAACGTTTGGGTTTATTAGTCGTAAACGGCAGAAGAACATCTGAACTGAGGAGGTCAGAAGATATTTAGATGTTCCAGCTGACTATTCTCAACAAAAGTGATTTGCATCTTTACTGGCGGCAACACAGACGTGTGCTTGAGGCAGCGTAGGCGTCGAAGGAGGCTGTTCGCTATTCTTGTGACAGGAAGACTCACTGAATAAAAAACAAGCAAACAAATTCAACACATATTTACAAATCTTTATGTCTCAAAATAAATATCCACGTGAACCAAGTCGGGTCAGATGTGAAAAATAAAAAATGTTGTCAGTGGGTGATTACAAAAGGAAAAGGTGGAACGTTCAGTTTGTTGTCAGCTTTTAATAACTTGTTCTTGACAGTATGGGCAGAAACTCGTGCCATCAAACTGAATTTGAATCGCTCAGAATAAATCTGTATCGGCGTAATTTGAAATTAAATCCATTGGTTGGAAAATGAATTTCACTCAATTGAAACTGAATTTAAGGGTTTGAAGCTGAATTTCGTTGTTTGGAACGTTCAGTTGGACTACTTTCATTTTCTGTTCTGTAATTCAATTGAAATTCCTAAATTCAGTTTTTCGTGTCACACATCCGGGTCTTTGAGAATAATCGAATGCAGATTGACAGATTTGTGTTTCAACTTCCTTTACGAAAATGTAGGCGAGGGTTCAGTCTGAAGGAGCTGTGATCCAGTTCAAAACACACCGTAAAGGAGGTTCTTCTTCTTCTTTGGTGTTTTACGGTGGATTGCATCCACTCTGTTGCACCACCGCCTCCTTCAGACTGAACCCACGCCTACAGTTCCATAAAGGAAGTTTGACGTGAAACGTAAATCTGTCGATCTGCGTTCGATTACTCCGTGACTTTCTCAAGGACCCGGATGTGTGACGCAAAAAACTGAATCTCGGAATTGAAATTTAATTATAGAACTGAAAATGAGAGTAGTCAAACTTAATGTTCAATACAACAAAACAGTTTCAAAGCAAATTAATTAATTTTCAAACCAGTGGATTTAATTTCAAATTACGCCGAGACAGATTCAGTTTCTGATGGCGCCGGTTTCTGCCCACATGGCCGCTTGTCTCTATAAGTTTAACAACAAATATCGTAATGACTTGGTAGCTGCAAACTGTTTTCCAAATCTTTCTTCATCAGGTAATATGACGTGTGTCAGTGACGCAACACAAGTTTCACCCCGATGACACAAAATGTCCACCTTTTTAAAAGAGCAGCACTCAAGTTTGTTCAAACTGAACTCGTGACTTTAAAACTAAACAGAGTTCAAAATACTTAAAATTAAATGTTTTATGGAAAAAAAAAAAAACTTGCAGTCAAGGATTAAAACAACGGACTGAGTGCATCCAAAACTTTGAACTCCAGAAGGTTTTTAAATATGGAAAGCTATTAAACAGAAAATTCACAAACAAGTTGATCAAATTCAGTAGTCTTATTTTAAATCTTAAAATAAAAACTTTTAATGAGGCAGCTTTTATTTATTTCAGCCAGGAAACTTTGAGAACATAAAGTCTATTTCTAAATTGTAAGGGATTAAAAATGTGAAAGGACATTAATTAAACACTTTGTTCCTTCTAGCTCTATAATTGAAATGCACGTGTCAGTCAAAACAGCTGTAATCCATAAACCTGGTTATTCCAGCTGCTGCTGCTTTCGTTCAATCCTTAAATTACATCCGTTTAATTTGATACAGGGGTGGAAAACAAGTGAAACATTTCAAGTGGCATTTCAAATGAACAGAAGAAAAACAAAACTTTTACTCAAACATTTACTCGTAGCTTAAAATGACTTTTACTTTATTTTAGGATTAATTTAACATTTAATCTGGTCAAATGTTCACACGGGCGTCAATAAACCTGGTTCTGGCAAATTTGAGTTCTGTTTACCACGGAGAACACAACCGCAGCTGTATTTCAGACACGTCAATCATGTTTTATCGTCACTGAAATGGACAAACGCTAATCGCGTTTAGTCGACTCACCTGCTCTGAAATGCAGCTGTTTTTGTTGTGATCTCACCAGATGTGCAGATTCAAGTTCATTTATACTAAAACCTGAAGGAAACACATTTCTCCCCTGGGACAGTGGAAATATTAACTTTGGAGCTGAAGAGCAGGTTCGTTTTTGCACTTTTGAGAAATCTGGACCATTTTTCAAACACAACGTGTGTATTTCACTACATCGTACCGGAACGTTCCAGTACTTAATTGTGTGCGCAGGTTTGCAAACCGAGGCGTCCTGCTCGCAGAACTGTGACCTAAACCGAGGCTCCACTAGAACAACCTATAAATCTTCATCACACAGTAGTGGAGTAGACAGGTCCAAAATCAATCCAGTAAACTCCATAAATGATTCAGCCTGGAGAAGAGTTTCTCTTTCACGTCCAAACGAGACATGGTCTCTTTTTCCCCACAGCTTGCTTATGTCCACATTGTCCCATGAACCATTGCTGGTACTTCCAGGATGTGAAACATCTAAAGAAAAGTCCTTCTGTCAGACATTGTAGTCTGGAGCTTTTCCCAGTGGTTGCCTCAGTCTTATTTGCAGCGTCATGAATGCCCCCACGGCCACATGGAAGAGGATCTGCCAAACATTCCTCAGTTCATACAGATACATGTTGGACAGACAGATGAGCGCCAACGCCAGGAAGGATTTACTGTTCCTCCACACAGAGAAATAGGCAAACAGGTAGCACTGGAAAGGAGCAAAACAAACAACATGTTGACCACTAATACGTCTTAAAGCCCATTATAGAACTCTTTTTCTTATCTATCTATCCGTTTAGCACCAGGAGCAGCACAATAGGAGCTGACGGAAATGTTTTATAGAGGAGGTTCTGGCCTGAAAGGCACCGAGCTTCGGATGTTTGTCTAACTGACAAGCTGCTGAGCTGTAAAGTGCAGGGCGGTTAGTCAGCCGGAGACGGGCCGGCCTTACAGCAGACGATCACTTACCTGATACAGACAGGCCGCTGTGCCGAGGAAGAAGGCAATCACATAATTAAAGTCTTCGTCATCGTTCTACACAGAAGAAAGAAGGGACACAGAGAGAGGGCGTATTTCACACAAGTCATTTGTATGCAGACAAATCATTATACAACAGGATCATTCTGTAGCTTACATATATATTTGATTCATAGGCGTCGCATTAGCTATTTGTGACAGGGCCGTGTCCCCCTCACATTTAAAAATTATTCGTTTAGGTCGTATTTTACCTTGTTCTACAGCACCTCGATTTATTGTTTCATAACACTACTTTATTTTAATTGCATTTTATTGTACTTTACATGTTGTCTGTACTTTACATATGGTCTGTACTTTACATGTAGTCTGTAGTTTACAAACTTTACATGTCTGTACTTTACATACTTTACATGTTGTCTGTACTTTACATGTGGTCTGTATTTTACACGTCTGTACTGTACATGTCGTCTATACTTTACACGTCGTCTATACTTTATATGTTGTCTGTACTTT